CTAAGAACATTAGGGTGGTCCAAAAATATACAGGAAAATTTACTTTTTGGAATTTTATTGATGCCAACCCCCCAGATTTTTATAAAATGGAAAATAAGGAGACCCGAATTTTTTGTTTTGAAATCGGTTCTCTAATCACATCACTTCCACACAATGTAAAAAAAGGGAAAAGAAGTTACGACAGAACTTTACGGTATAATTATTTTTAATCCTCTTTTTATTGGTTTTGAAATTCAAATTTAAAAATTAGTATTTTTCTGCAATGACTTATAGTTGAAAAAATTTCAAGCTATGCAAAAACAATGTGGAAAAATTTTAAATTTTTTACCAACTTTAATATGAATAAAAATGATTTTTAACCAATTTGTGGCTGATTTTACATGATAAAATTTAAAAAATAATTACAAATTTTAATTTTAACAATAATTTTCATTAAGTTAGCGATAGCCAAATTAGACCAAAAATACTTATTTTTAACGATTTTAAGCAATTTTTTGAAAAAATTTACTTTCCCGATATGAAGTACATATATGCAAAACTTCAAAGACCCTGTGGAACGGTAAAATGTTAACGGATTTTGAAATAAAAATATGGGCCTTATTTTTGTGACATTCTTCAGTTCTGGGGAGTGGGTGGAAAAGAAAAATATATTTGACCACCCTAATGTACATACATGCTATTTATGGATAAGTATATTTTTTCACTTTTCTTTAAATGAAATCGAGTTTTAAGGTAGTTGAAAAAAACATAAATATGTATGTATGTCCATATATACATATTCATACATACATATGTCGAAAGTATGTAAATAAATAAATGATCTCAACATCTGTTCGGGAGACAAAATCAGTGCGAAAAGCTTCCACTCCAACGAATACATATTCATTAATATCGATCGATCAGTATGAGTAGTATGTACTACATGTGTACTATATTGCGGCAGACAGCTTAACAGACAGCGTAGGCCACCAGCTTGGGTTCAACCTCTGGCTCCAACGTATGAAGGCTGCAATGTTGACATTAGAGCTTGAGTTTCAAACACCTACTCAAAACTTGGTCAATTGAAAATTAATTAACGGCATTGTTGCCTAGGATCTTAAGTGGAGAACGCTAGTCCCAAAATGCATGCATTGACATTAGGGTGATCTAAAGAAAAGGTAAAGTCGGAATTTTAATGTTCTCATCGCCTAGGATTATTTGATACCAAAAAAAATACCCCTGTTTTTTTTATTTTTAAATCGAAAAATATTTATAGGTCAGTGTTTATTATTAACTATAGGACCCCTAAAAACTACAAATTAATTTTTTGAGGTTTTTGGGGTCCTATGAAAAATAGTTAATAATAGAAAATGGTTAATTAAGCAATTGAGTATTGTTACTGGAAGTCTTCTGATGAGAAACGAAATTTTCCGATCGAAAAATATTGAATTTGAAGAATTCTATACCGTTTCTACGAAAACTGTTTTTTCCCATATACAATACATGGAAAACTTTCAGCGCTTTGAGCGACCTCTAAATATTTTTTTTTATTTCAAAATTATAAATACAGGGATAAAGTTTTTTTTTCGATATAGATATAGAACAAACCTAGGGTGTATGAACATAAAATTAGCGACTTTACCTTTTCACATGCATTTTTAGACCACCCTAATGTACACTGAAAAGCGCAAACACATCTATTTATTTACGTAACCATACTTCATAAGTTCTTGGAGTTATGTGAACTTCTATATACGGTCAGTTGGTTAGAAATGCACTTTAGGGTGAGCAATTTATTTCAGAAATTTTAGAAAGCCGCAAATTATTTCATCTCCCAGAAAATAAAGCTGTAACGAAACCAAACTTTTAGGACTAAGGTAATTCTATCTATGGGAATAAAGATTTATTTATCTTCGGTGGCCCTAAAGTCTTTTAGTTCCCTCGGATGATTTAGGAGAGGAAAAGAACGGAAGAAGTGGTCTAATAGGTAACGACCTCAATACTGGACATCGAAAAAAGCACAATAGGTAGAAGCACGATTGGATGTCTGGTCCGAGCAATTTCCAAAAAAACTATTTTTTTTTTGTTCGTTCAGAAGCGACGTAAAACTGCCGCCCCTACTTTTATGTGAAAATATAGAGGCACACAACAAAATTCGGAGGAGAAACTCAAGCTAACACTTAGTGAAAAATGTGAGCGCCAAATACTTTGCTCTATTTCAAATAATTTTCAATCAACATATTCATCGGACAAAATTTTTCCTGCCCTAATGTATGTAGATACATACCCACATTCGTTTGTGAGTAAATTAGATGCCTTATCGCAGCTTAGCATTATTGACTTTGCTAGTTTTTCTGTCCAAACAAAGGTCTAAAATATTGGTAGAATTGGTTTTAAATACACCGAAATTGGTATGCGAGTAAATGAAATAATAAATAATGTTATTCGCATTGTATGGGCATAAACATAGGACACACCGTAAATGTACTTAAGCCACTTATAATTAATAGGCAACGACGTTTAAAATCGTTGCAATGCAAATACTTTTTGGCGAACAATGCTTTTAGTACTGTTAGAGTTTGTTTCAAAGCGCTTTTCGTGTGGCCGTGGGCAGAGGAAGTGCGGTGTTGGCAGTGGGCAAAATGCAATAACAGTAATGGGAAAATGTCATGCTTAGGAGTTGTTAAATATATGTAAGTGCCTACATTTGTATGTGCAAAATAGGTGCATATAAACACAAATTATTTTTATCCAATTCGTACATATGTATGTATGTATATATGTATAACATTTCTTAATTATTCACTTTTTTTTTAAGTTCGCTGCCCTATTCTAAATCTTTGTATTTCCAGCAGTATTTGCAAATTTGAATGTTTTGACAAAAAAAAAACCAATTTCCTTTCTTGTCTTCCATCATTAACTCATTTAAATTCACAACATTGGTGGTGGCATGTCTTCGCAACCGCTTGATCTCGTCATCGGCAATATCATTTAAAATAATTTGCATAAGAGAGCACCTTTCCATGGCCATGCCGCTTGAAAATTAAACAAACATTCTCCTCGCAGGTAGTGGCCAGATATGGCAATCACTTCCACTTCATTCCGAAATCACCTAACCCTTACTAATCTTTGTAGACCTTTCTTTTGAATAAAGTGTAGCAGGTAAAAGGTGTAAAAACAGATTAAAGTGAAATGATGATAATGATGTTTTACACAAAATAATTACAAATAACTTAAAGAAATTAGAGCTGTTGAACGGTTAATAACAAAATTACTTGGAATGCTTGAGAGCAAAACAAAAACATGGTACAGTTAGCTAGAGTGCGAGAATTTCACTCCAGAAACAAAGTAATACTAAGTGGTATACCCGCAGGAAGAAGAAAAAATCGTAACGGAAGTCACTAATTTGATACAATGTTTCTGTAAAAATCATCGTCGGCGATATCGCATTTTTTTCGAATTCTTATCCGCTTTCGGGAAGAAGTGTTGATATGAAAGTGTAGAGGGCGATATTTTGGAAAGTAAAATATTTGACAAAACTAATGAGAAATTTGGGGTGAATTCGAGTTTGCTATCACAGCGGCAAAGTTACTTACTGCATTTTGTAACTGACTGAGCAATTAACCCACAGCTATTTCTTCCGCTGCTTTAAACTATGTACATATGAGTGATTCCTAGAACTAATTTCGCATATAAAAAGATACTACTGGAGGTTTTTTTTTTTAATTCTTCCTTTTTAGATTGCTCATTTTCCCTCCGGAAATTTGGATGTTTGGAGCTCGGTTTAGTCGGCCAAAATCGACGAAATTCTACAGAAAAAAGAAAGACCGAACTCGATTTTCGGAATCACCGTGCAATTCTACGCAGAAATTGGATAGTGGCGTCTCCTATTGAGCAGCTCGAATCTAGCCAAACACTATTTTCTACTACTGATAAAATAAGATATGTATAATTATTTTACCATTTTTCTGAAATAATACCAAAAAGAATTCTGATTTGGGGAAAGTCGGTCATCTAAAAAATACCATGTGGAAACAGAAATAATGACCATTTTTATGAAGGTAAAAGCACGGATGTTTTTAGTGCCCAACATTGTCATTAAAAATTTTGTCATTTAATACCTAGTGGAAATTCAGCGTTAGACAAATTTATGAAAAATTAAATTCACAGTAAAAAAATCGTTGACGTTTAGGGACAAAACAACAGGTGGTTCAGTATTCTAGAGCTGTTCCACCATCACACATAATTGTCATACCACATTGGTGATGTAATTTCATAAAAAAACTGAAGTACCCTAGTGTACTTGTATTGTTTTTAATGCCCCGTGTACTAATTGGAATCACCACAAATAGTAGTTTTATATCTTCACACAACAGCTGTTTTTATAAATAACCCAAATTTTAAAACAATTTCATATTTTCACGCTAAAGTTATTTCGGTTAAAAACGCTTGTAGGTACAAGTAAATATCAACCGCATTTTTTTTTAGTTTTAGTTGTTAAATTGAAGTTTAGGTTTCTTAATTACTCCATTAAACAAAAAAAACAAGTTTCACTTTTTATTTCTTTTTTTTTTTTAATTTTTCCCTCTCTGAACTTGTTTGTCATTTTGCACTCGCGAAATGCTTAACCAGCAATTTTCACCATTTTTCCAAGGCATGTTAGACTTTTTGCCTCATATTCTGCTAAACAAAGCAGAAAATATCATTTTTCTTAAACTCATATAATATTTTTTCACTAAACTCAACTTAATAAATTCTCGAAACCCCAATTCCACAGAATTTTAGCGAAAAAAACACTTGCAACAACACAGCTGACATTTTTATTACATGTATATAGGTACGCACGTATGTATGTAATTGTGGGTTAAGCACGATAAGTAATAAGTAAACGAAAACAAATGGCTTCGTCTGACTCATGCCGCATGCAATGCACATAAGCACACATGTACACACTACTATATTCCTACTATAAAAGGCTCGCAATGTACATTTGCGTACATCGTTTCTTTTTTCACACTTACCCCTCTCCGCTGACGCTGTCGTCGCCGTCGCTGCCGCTGTCGCTGCCGCTGTCGCTGCCGCCGTCGCCGTCGCCGACACTGACTTCGGCAAGGATATTGACTTGGGCGTGTTGTAGCCGAGGCCTCTTGCGCTGCCACTGGCACGACCGGCACTCAACTGCTGCACTTTCTGTTATAAAATAAAATTCATTGCACTCATTTCATTCAAATTATTTAGTGGAACACTATGTATAAGAACAACTACAACAAAAGGCACACTTATAGACGAGATTTTCCATTTACTACAAAGTACTAAATAGAAATGTGCTAAAATACTACGCGTATACACATACACGCACGGGGGACACACCTCTTCACGGCGCCGCCTACGCTTCGCTGCTGGTCCCTCCTCGCCATACAAATCAACGCTGCCCACAACCGGCATTCCTGCTGCTTGTCGTTGCTGCGGCAGCTGTTGCAGAAGCTGGTGTTGTTGTCGTGCGCGCTTTGTCGGCAGCGCACAACGTCTGCGTAGAATTTTGTCCGCATTCCGTACGCAACGTATGAACTCGCTGCACATCTCCAGTGTATGACAGCAGTCGAGACAGATGTGTTGGGGTAGTTCAATGTCCGCAAGCGAAGCGCCAATGCGCGCACACGCGTTCAAACAATCGAGCAGGGTGGTGGTGCTGCCACTGTCGACGCTACCACCACAGCTGTTGGCCATCATTTTTGTTGGCGTGCCATTGAGTTTGTTGCCTTTGGTCGATAGCGTTCTGGTAGCCTTGTATGAATCATTGCCGGCTGTCGTTGAAGTTGTAAACTTATCATCGCGCAAATCCACCATGGCCAAGGTGTCCAGTGGCACAAACTCCAAAAGGGGAGTCTCCTCATCGGAGCATGAGTCCGGCGGTGACTGGCGCGTGGTGGGCTGCTGCTGCTCCGACAGGCAACAGCGGCACATTATGCGACGTGGCCGCACCCGTTGATGTGGCTGCGGCGGCGGCGGCTGTTGCGACGCCACTCCTCCTCCACCGCCTGCTACCGGTAATCGCTGATTGCCAGCTCTGCTGTATACCAACTTTGGTGCTACTATTGCCATCACTCTACATAGCTTTTCACTGCCGCCTGCAGCGCTGTATTCACTGTAATTTCCGCTAGTGCTGCCACCACTGCTCGTACTGCCATTGCTGCTTACACTGTAACTCCTACTGCCGCCCATTGCTGCATTTTTTCACTGTGTAAATCTATTCTATTTTTCACCGTCAAATGGGCGTGTTTAGCGTATTTTTGGCGTCCCGGCGTTTTTCTTTTTGTTTATAAACAAAAAATGTTAATTAGCACAACTCACGGCGTACAACCAAGCATTGCCTGCCGCTTCGGTAAATTCGCGTCGTTCCCACTGCGTTTTCACCAAATTCGAGTACGTACACTTCGATGAGCAAATCTCTACTGCTGCAATACGAGTGTAAAAGCCAGCAAGTTGGCAAGCGATGACTATGACGACGACGACGACGAAGGCGATGGCGAAGGCGACCTTGCTGCGCGCATATCGACCAGCCGGTACGCTACACCGGCATGGAGTGGGCATGCGCATTGCTGGCAACAGCTGCTCGTTGAGTGCCATTTGTTATTGGACGGACTACCCTAACTAATGCATTTGCATGTGTGTATGAGAGCACTAACACCACTGTGTGGATGTGTTTGGCATGAGAAATCGGTCATGACTTGCGGCATAAGACGGACCGGAAGTGAGGAAATACAGCAAAAAAACGTTTTCTTAAAAGAATATGATCAGTGAAAAAGTTTCAAATCATTGAAACCATTTTCAACTCAAGTATGTGGAAAGAAAAGCGTAGTCCATAGTGAAACCCGTTTGCCGTGAATATGTAATGCTTTTCATCAAAAATTTAAAAGGGAACCTCACAAAAAATAGCATAAAAAAGTTATTTCAAGTGAAGATTTGTTTGATTTTAGTCTAAAATTTGGACCTTCGAATAATTTTGATCTTTTAAAAACCCCAAATTCGGAAACGATCAAAATTGTCACTAAGTTTAAAAACTTATAACATTTGTTCATTTACTCGAACCTCAGTGCAGCATTGAAACCTGACCGGATGTATCAAATTTTTAGTTGGTGCCTTGACAATTGTGGTTTAGTATTAGTTCTTACAGGCCTCTGTAGCTTCGACAAAAGATGCCTTGTGAAAAACTTATTCCACCACACATATGTATGTACATTTATAACAGATGGTATCCACTAAATTTTCTTCGATCTTTGACTAAAACTTTATGCCATTTAGCAACAGATTTCACGGTACATCTCAAATCATAAAGGTTTCAATTCTTTTTCAATATATTAGCTCAACTAATCACGTGGGCTATTTAAGATTCCCTGTTGATAGCTTAGTTACCATTTCTTTAAACATTTGCCTAATCATTCCAATCAACTCTTTTCTGTCGAGTTACTTCTTCACTTGCTTCTGCAACACTCCAAATTCACTTCTTCAATTCAAATTCATCAAAATGATGCCCAGTCCAGTTATTTTCAAACCAAACCAAATTTGGTAAGTATCTACATAGATTCTTTTTAACAAATCTAACTGGACGCTCTGAACTAGCAAATCTGTGAGCAAAATATAGCCAATTAACTCGTCCAACTAATAGTCTATTAGCAACATTCTGATCGTAGAGTTCATTATACTCGGCTATGACCGAATTTGGTTATACTTGTAAGTATCTGAATTCTCTGGGTTATACTCTCATTCGTATAGGTACGTGTTTTAATTGTGAGCTTCAAGAGCAAAAACGGATACGTCATACACGAACGGCGAGCGCGCACACAAATGCACAACGCATGCACACAGATACTACGTACACATACCCTGTAGGGAAATCCGTCAGTCAATTTAGAGATATGACTGGTTCACCATAATTCACGTACATATTTTCAACAACTGCTGGAATGCAACTGGTGATTTTGGCATTGCAGTATTTCAGGGGCGAAGTAGTTTGAGCTGCTTTACTTGTTCGACAAATGGTAACTAGTTAGATTTCGAATTGCCGAATACGCACTATGTAGTTCATAAACCAGATATTGTTGTCAGCTCAATTAGTTCACGTTCTATTATTTTTAAAATGTCGTTGTCCTACGAGACGTTAATTGTCTAGCTATGTATCAGCATCTACCAGTAGAAATACTATTTTCATACCAGTTTCCCCGATTCATCCCGCTTGAAAGGAGTCAGTATGACATTTTGGTTGCAGCGCTCCAACAGTTGCAGAGCAAAGCACTAGCGTGCCATTTCTGAGGTCCGAAGTTCAAGTCCTCGGCACGGAATTTTACCCTTTTAAACCAACTTCCAAAAAAGGAGGAGGTTATCAGTTCGTCGGAAAACTTTTTTTTTATGTATGTTACCACATAATTTTGGACCACGTCAACCGATTTCGAAATTTCTTTTTGCATCGCAAAGATGGTGAACAGAGGTGGTCCCATACTAATCTGGTTTAGACCCGGTCATTGGATCTTGAGATATATGTATATTTATATACATATATTTTTTTATATGAGAATTGAAGTCGGTTTTGTTATTTACTTAAAAATTACTTGTTTTAATAAATTTTCTTTTAATTTAGTGCCGTTAAGTTTCCTATTTTAAAGTATAGTTTAATCATTAGTTTAAGTTAACTACAGAAAAATCCATAATATGTAATAAATTTTAAGTTGTTTATTGTCATTTTAAAGTTTTATTTTTTTTTTTAAGAAAAATTTAAGTGTTTTGACCGGTCGATTTCTCTGTGGATTTCCCAGTCGACGGAAATAGACCCGTATAAAGGCAGCTTAACATACGACAATATTTTATCCAGGCGACGATAGGATGTAAGTATGTATGTACATACATATGTACGTTTTTTCTCAAACGAAACTAATTTGTAGTTTATATTTAAATTTAAATAATTATAGTAACTTATATTGAAATAATCAGAAAAATTGTAACCACCACCTCCAAGCGGATTCGAACCTGCATTACCAGAACCAGGACCGGTAGTTTTCACGCGACGCCACAGCCGTCGTTATTTTTTACTTTGACAATTCAAAGGCAGATTCGCATGAGTTGTCGAAATGGTCGCACTGTTGGTAGGCCATCGCTTCAGCCAGTTAAAGAACTGGTATTTTTACTCACTGGGTTGGCTTTTCACGGCAGGGGTATTTCCACATTTCATGCACAAATACATACATGTCCAAAGTGGTTGATAGAAGCTCTCAAAAATAAGTCGCTAAAACAACTTGCACATACTACTTATGCCGGCTTATTGAATGGAGTTACCAAAAAAAAAAATTAAACACATCAATGCGGTAAACAGAAATATGTGCAGAAAGTAAAAAAGACATAAAATAAAATTAAAATAAAATAAGAAAAAAAGAATTTAAAAAAAATATACCCATCGCTCTTTTCAATGCAAAGGGACTATTTTCGACTTTATTTTATAATAATTTTTTTATAAAACACCGGCCCACAAAAAAAGTGGTGTGTGCTTTTTACCAGACCCACCTACCAACATATATTTGAATTGCAAAAATTATGAAACAAATGGCAAAAAAAGTCCTAGTTTACTCGAAATTTTGAGGGTATACGAGTCAAAGGAACCTCTGATTCGGATTCAGTTGGTCGAAATACATGTCGGTAGGTGGCTCTAGTTAAAAGCACACACCACTTTTTTTGTGCTTTTGTAATATAACAATACTTTGGCGCTTTTTTTGGCTGCATTTTTGGCGGAGCTTCTCCTCTAACTGGTGGTGTACATCCTAATGTTGTATCACGAGTGCAGTGACTTACAGACATCCTCCATCGAGGTTTGCGATGTCCACTTCATTTGCCACGGCAAGTAGCCCAAATTCTATCGTTCTTACTGGCTATTAACAAACGTCACTCTGGAATCCACTTTAAAGTGAGGTTCGAGATTGGATGACATAAAGACGGAATGAATACTTCTGGGCCTTGTTGAATGGTACCAGCAGCGAAGACTATGGTGGTGATGATGACGGAATCGATGCTTCATTATCCGACCATGAACTAATAGTAATACCTGGGTCTTTGATAGCTGCTATCGGCGGCGGTATAACAGTTCAGATATTCAAATACAGAGCCAGCCGTGCGACTCTTTAATAAGCGCCAACTATAGCGGAATCAAGAGTTTTTTGTGTGGAAGGCTAAAGCCCACCGTAACCGGATGTCTTAAGTTTGGTACACCGGCGAACGTAATGCGGCTGAATGAAATAGTGTTGAGCAATGCCATGATTTGGAAGGAACTCTCCGAACCGTGTGATACTAAAGTATGTTTTGAGACAAGATGAATATCGACTATTCAATCTTCAAATTCACCAATGGGATTAGGCTAGAACTGAACGTAAGAAAGATTCTGCATATTTTATTTTGCGCACGTTGCGGACGTAAGCACGGAAGGCGATGGTATAATGAACTTTACAGCGATATAGACGTACATACATACATATGTATGTAGGTCAGCGGCTACGCTGCTTAGGCCATGCCGTAAGACTGGTGGCGAATGAAATGCGTTAACTGCTGGCGGTCGTATGGAGAGAAGACCTCCGCTGATTTAGAAAAAATCTATTTCGGGAAATAACTCAATTTTTCTAGCGGGAGAAAGGATCGGAGTAGCAGCTTGGCTGTAATGTATGTATGAGCTATGTAATAACTGCCGCATTATTGTAACCTCGTTGCTTTCTTGATGCTCAACTAAAAGTCTTCTAAAATGCTGAAGAAATTACGGAGTTATTTTACACTAGGTGGGTTTAATAATAAAAACATGTATGCTATAATTTCTTTTAAAATTTTATTTCATTTCACACATTTTTGATTTGTTGTGTATAAGAATTGCTTTACGATTAACAGTTTGGAGTACCTACTACATACATATTTTTGTAGTATACTTTAATTTAAAGTTAAGTAAATTTTTAATTTGAATGCTTAATTTGGGTAAATAAGAGTTCTATTTTTTTGTATACAAATGCACATATCGATGGTCCTCTGCATTTTTTTTTTTTAACTGTGTCATTATTGCAGACGAGCATCAATATGCAGTTGAAAGCAAACAGTTGGATCAAAGTGCTTTGAGACACTATATGTATCTATGACGTAGAACTGAAAAACTATAAATTTGAAAATTAGCAATTAAAAAGAAAGGCTTAATCGCTACGCTTAATTCTTGATTGAACCGTACAAAAAGTTTATTTTTTTTAATTGGCGAAACGCACTAGAATGATGCATATATTTTTTGTTTTTTTAAATACAAGTTTTTAGTTTTTTAACTGCGCTCATATAACTTGCATTTCAAGTGCGTGCACTTAAATAAATTCCTTATTAGCTAATTTGTAAGTTAAAATCTTTAATTATGGTACATTTCCCTTCTAATTTCATTTCTGTTTTTAAATATTAAATAGGCTTGTTTAAGAGAAAGGCGCGTAACATTATTTAAAAAAAAATTGGGCATCCTCGAGGTAATTTAAAACATGGTAAGCCATTAATTATTATATTTCTTAAATAAAAACCCGTTTTCAATATTTTCATAATATATTTTCTTTTGGCTATTTATGCATAATGAACCGAGTCTTCTAACGATGCCACTGCCGTCATACAATTTTTTCAACTTTCAAAGGGCTCTTTCAACAAAATAGTGAGTTTAATCAGCAAATGAATCAACTAAATAGATAATTGAAAGAGCCAATGTCATGCAATATCTAATCGCTCTGTGATAGGCGATTTTCGTGAGGGTTAAGTGCAGTATTTTGTTTGCTATCAAGAGCATCAAAAAATTAGTAGGGGCAAACTAAAGGCATTTTCAGCAATATTTATTTAAAAAAGAAGAACTCTTTAAGATAAGTGAACTTGACAGCAGAACTGCTACTACTTTAACGGCCTACTATGTACATATCAACACCATCAGTGCGAAAAGCCCTATTTAACCAAAAAGCTTTTTAAATTAACATAAAAAGTGCTGATATGTATAGCTGATCTAAGAATGCCAACGAATCTCGTAGTTGGAAAAAAGTTGCAAAATATGTATGTAAAAAACGCATTTCCGAAAGTGTCAAATAGGGTATTTTGCATTAAGGACGATAAAATAAGAAAATCAATAAATCCTTAAAGTTCTGCTGTATGTGCTGTATATTTTGGAAAAACAAAAGCATTCGAATTTCTTCAAATGAAAAAGTTATATGTAATACGCATTTAATAGAATTCATTTTGAACATTTAACAATTATTGCATTTTTGGTTAAAAGTGAAGGTGAAATAATTGTCGATATTATGCTTGTAAAAAAAAGTGTTGAAGACTAGCTAAAGGCAAATAAAGCAGTTAATGCAATATTGTTTCGAGTATATATAGTAGCTAGCATTTATCAAACGGCATACATAAATGAGAAAACTCAAGCGATGGTGGAAAATCTAGAATTCCTGTTCCAAAACTAATTTCTTCGTGTTTCAAATTCCATAAAGGGTTACATTTGCAGTTAGCAGCTGGTACGCATGATTTTATGTGTGCAAAACTAATTTTTACCAGCTGATTTAATTTTTAATTTCAATTAGTTTCCAAGCACATGTACATCTTCATCTTCATGTTCCTTTTCTCGTTGGCGTACGGCCACTGCCGTTTCCACCAGCAGGTACAGACACTTGAATTTATCTTTATCGTCGCGTATGACGCCTACATATGAAAGAAATACATTCAACTATGCATAGGACAGCAATTTTAACAAAACATTATACACAAACCTTTCACCAAATGACTGCCAGGATGTATGACCTGTACACTAGATGAAATTTGATTATTATTGGTTGCACTCGCATTATTATTATTGATATTGGCCGCATTTGAGGCACCCGATGTTACGACTGTAGCCTCGGCGCCAACTGTGACACCCGCTTCAGCTGTCAATTCAACAGGTGTTAACAGCGCATTAACGTTAGCAGCAGATATCACATTGTTGCCTGTTGGAAAATAATTTATAATTTAACTAAATTGTTCAGTACTGAATTAAATGAATTTAGTACTCACCAATAGCACCTGTTGTCGTTGATCCCGTAACGCCTACCGCATGCGTCTGCGCTGTCGTCGTATGCGGTTGTGATGCGGTCGTCCAGTAGGTATTATTCGTTGCAGTTGGACTAGAGGTCGTTACTTCCTCGGTACTGAAAACAGTCCCGTAAAAAGAAACGTTCAGTAGACGAAATATTCGTGCGCATGCATTGCAGAGCAGAGCAAAAGTGGTGGATAAGAAAATTAAAGCGTATACCACAAACATCGAGGTTATTGAGATGTTGTCGAAATGTGGATGTCGATCCGTGTGGTTTTAGATAATTGGATAAATCATGTGTTTGTAGTAGTGGTGGTAATAACATTGGAAAATTTAGTGTCAAGACACAAGTTGTAGACCAAAAGGAATATCGAGCAAAAAAAAATAGAAAAAATATAACGAAATATTTAAAAGAAGTATAAGTATGAAAACTAAATAGAAAGTATAGAGAAAGTAACTACACCTTTTTCATACTAAAAAATTCTAAAATAGTATATATAAGCGAAAAAACGATATTATAGGTCCCAAAATACAAAAGCAGACATTAAAAGCAGTTTCCACAGCGGAGAGTAATTATGGATTTTCAGTGCAAAACATATTAAGTTCAATGTCAGGTCTACGTAACCGGAACTACCTAGACCAAGGCCAAGGACTGTCGATCCAACAACACTCCCCAAAAACTCTGGGGAATTTGTATGCTGTTGCAACAACTAAAAAAAAATCAGAATGCAATTGAAAGTTTTACATACATTGCCGCTGAAGTGCAAAAAAGCCGTAACTAAAATTTTTTTTAATGCATAATCAAAAAAATAGTGAATTTTGGATCTTTTGTTAGATAGGGCCTTTCTATATAAAGGTAAAGATTAATTCTTTCCTTTTTGGTTGTTGTTGTTTCCGACAGGGTGGGTGTATGATGTATTATGGAACGAAAAATGACACTGAAGATGGCACAACGCCGAAACCGGTTTGTCTCCAAACCAAATTTGACAAGGGATGACGGAAATTCGTTCCATAATACATCGTAAAGATTAATTTTCGAGAAAAGGTGTAGTTAAGATTTTTCATTGGATTCAGTTAACTTACTTCATAACACTTTGCCAAGCGTCTGAGCTTTCAAATTTGCCTTCCTCCTCACTTTGCGGCTCGCAAGAATCGTACTCGTTGACGCTGTCATCTTCAGATCTGCAAAACCCAAATACGTAATATTAACAAATAGCAAAAAAAAAAAAACATGAGTTTTGTAAGCAAAACCGAATCACAACATCAAATAAACTACTGGTACGAATATATGAAACAATTGATAAAGAAAACCATACAAAAATAATATCAACCCCCACGTAATGCAAATCAACCCAATTATAAAAACAAAAGAGAATCATTAACGCACAAGTCATTGTCCCTATACCTCAACGCATTGAAATGGGAATTCTTCGTTGGCGGCATACTATTCTGAATGTGAAAAATTTGATTGAGTGTCTGTGAATAGAAATATTTGCTATTGGTGGGATAATGTGCGGCAGCAGCAGCGGCAGAATTGCTTGAAGATGGTGGATATACTGGCACACCAGCAACAGCATCACTATTCGGACTTTGGATTACGCCGGTGCTTGTACCAAATGTGGGCTGTTGCATTTGCACTGCGGCGGCGGCAGCGGCTGCTGCTGCAGCTGCTTGCCTTTGTTTAGCTGCTTGAATTTTTGCCAAAATTTTGGCTTGAATTTGTGGATGTAAATTTTGAAAGCCCTGTGGATTGGCAGCAATTGCCTGTTGCCATCTGTATACATGGTTGTTTGGGGGATTCGATTGATTGATTGATGATTAGCGGTAAAAAATTCAACGTTATTTAATTATTAGTGGAGGAGGTTGGGTGAAGATATACTTAATAAAATGGTTCAATAAATTTAAGGTACAAAAAATAATTTGCAATAGTGTAGTTATAACATTATACCTGTAAATTACACTGTCATCGTACTCTATGTCCGGTTCTACTTTAACCATATGACCGCTTGGCGTTTGAACGAAATGACCCAACGCCGTAAGCACATTTGCCACGCCATCATGCACTTCATCGCCTTCCACCTCTTCTGTGGCGCCAACGATCTTAAAAATATATAGGTATTAAAGTAAAGATATACAAAAAGATATAGATAACTAAGTCGCACCACTTCCGAAGCGGGACTGCCCGTGATAGGATTTGGAACTGATGCATTAATGCTGCTTGAGGAGTTCAACGAAGAGTTTAGCTTTTTGCCACGTCTTGAAATCGTGAAGTGCAGCGGATCATTCCCCTCGCGTCGTATCATTTCAGGAAGTATGCGACGTCGTGCGTTTATAAACCAGTTGCAAACCTTTTGCCACAAATCAAATATTTATTTATTTATTTATTTATTTATTTATGCTGATTAAATAAATAAATAAATAAATAAATAAAAAAATCAAATATATTTATTTAAAATACGACAGTAATAATAAATGATTCAGTTTACTAACCTGTAGGACAGTTAAATTCGCTTCCTGCGAGAGCGTAAACTTTTCGGCATCGCTGGGATATGCATTGTAGCGATGTTCATATAACCAACGTTTCAAAATCTTTACCGATGTTTTTGGCAAATTGCCACGTCGCTTGCGCATTGACAAGTTATCCGTATTGGCATCACTGGATTCCATTAGAATGTCTTTAAAATCTTTGACATCATGCATGTCGGACAAGTCATGTTCGGTCAAATCTTCTTCAACAATGGTTTCATGATGCTCATCCTCGTCGTCATCTTCCTCAACAACGCCCAACACTGTGACGCCATCGTGTTCAATATCTTCGTGACCATCTTCCTCCACACTCGATGTGGATTGAAAGCGATCGCGCGCTAGATAAGTGAAATATCGATAGAATCATTAGAACCAGCTATATGGATTAGATTTTGAGTTTTGAAATACCCTAAAATTTTCTTTAAGGAAGAAAATACATATATTTTGGGCCATTTGTTTATCGAATAAACTTCAATATGGCTTTCTCCACACTTCTTTAGCTTACAATTTTTAGCGCACTTTGGGCGCAGATGACATTTTTATGTCAAATAACATAATTTGACATTTTCGGTGAGGGTGTCAAATGGCCAACACCTGACATTACTACTGTCTAATGCCAACGATGATATAGCTTATCAAGATATAGATTTTAAAGCAATTATGCGGTGAATTATATATTATAAAAGTATAAATATGTCGTTCCCACGACAGTCGGGTCTACGTAAGCAGAACGACCCAGATTTATATCTGGCCAAGGACTGTCACCCCAGCAACACTCCCCAAGAACTCTTTGGGGAACTTGTGTGCTGCTACAACAACAACAACTGTCTAATGCAAACGATGATAAAGCTTATCAACATAAAGATTTTAAAGCATTTATGCGGTGCACTAAATATTATAAAAGTACAAATGTGGAGTAGGCCCTTTTGGAAATATGTATGTATGTATATTTACCTTCGTGCGCTATGATCTGCGCTTGTATCTGCGCCTCCTGTGCCATATCTTGTATATCCTGGCGTACTTGTCGGTCCAGCGCAAGATTAACTTCTTCGTGATGCAAAGTATCCGGCGAAAGCATTTTTAAAAACTATATTTGTGAATATGTATTTCTCAATAACTAGTACAATAGATGCCGCAGTGGCATTGATGCTAACCGAATCGTGCTGCCTCAATTGTGTTGATAGAAGGAATAATTGAAGTCAAGTGCAAATCTGTAAATTGTGAAACAAATGCAAATGAACATCTCTTTCAAAAACTTATCATTTCATTTTTGAAATAAGAATCCAATGAAATTTACTTTTTGTTCTAAAAATTAGTTGTCTTCAAGTCTGATTGTTGGATTCGGCAAGGCCTTTTATAAAGATCAAAAATTTTAGTGAAAAATTAAATGTGCCGCCAAACGTCTACTATTTGACTGATGTGTGACGATTTCAAGTGATTTTGTCGTTTAAATATAATTTAGTATTTTTCTACAGTGAATTTATAACAAAGTTGCCTTTGGGTCTCAAGTCGACAGTTCCTTTGATGCATCCAATAGTTTTCCTAGATTGCTCCAGCCGTGCCTCTGTAGCATACAGTAGTTTTCCGGCTCCAGTGGCTTTTGACAAGCATTTGTATACAAAACACAAGATGTCAATTTCTTCTTTGATTTTTGATTAATTAAACTTCAAATTTTTCCGTGCAATAAACTTCAAAGAAATGAATTGGCACGCGTTTGACAGTTGTCACTCGCATGGACTGTGTGCATGACAGCGACTAAATGCGAAAGAACGAGATGGCGATACTGCTGACATACGTTCATCTCTTGTCAACAAAAGGGAGGCATGGAAAATTTCAGAACGCATTTTTTGTTCCTTTTGTCAAAATGGCGGAAACGGAAGATTGGTGGGAATGCCAAGCGAAGAAAATGCAATTGGAAAGAAACGTCATTGGAAAATCTTAAATAAAGAGCTTGTCAGACATGGCAACATTTGCAGCTATTCGCTGTCAAATTGTAAGAGAAATCTTATTTCCACCTATGAACTGGTCTTTCACCTTTGGGAAATCAATTTCAGAAATTAATGTTGCAAGGTTTGACTCTCAACTTAAAGATCGGAATCGATTTCGGAAATATAGGCACCTATTATGAGCTGCATTCGATCTCCGACTGTGGTCATTTGGTATTATGACACTCATTTTTGCAGAATGGCACTATTGTGAATCATAAATTTTTCACAATTTTCTAACACTTCGCTACAGCAGCGAAAGCAAAATTCTGTTCGACAGAAAATTCGATAATCAACTAAAATTTCGACACTGTTGCATAGCTCATAATACGAGGTTCACATTAAATATTCAATCTTCGATAACCAGCGTATCTCGATGATCGAATGCAACTCATAAGGGCCATAATTCATTCTGTGTGAGCAGCCTAACGCGCAGTCAAAAATGTTCCCTGCTATATATAAAAAATCGCTTTCGAAAGACCTTTACATCCAAGCTGTCACTGCGTAAGCAACTGTTTTCTGAATTTTGCCAATTTGGCAGCCTTTCCGAAATATATTGCATTGCTACGTCTGACAGCCTCCTAAGTACAATTGCCTACATACATATCTATATCCACCGACATACATGTGAACATATGTAAATACTCGCACAAATATTGCAACTACATACTGCAATCTAGCTATTTATATGCACACTAGACGGTTTGATTTTGGAATGTCGCCCGCTTATTTCAGATTTGTATCCATTTATTAGAAAGCAAACAATGCCTTTTACAGCGACCATTTCTTGTATAAATAAAATAGGTCAGAGGCAAAGCACACCATATAAGCTTCTGCGCAAGATGGCGGTACATTGCCAAATGTCGCAGCCTGTAATTAGAGCCTTTCAACAATTGTTCTCTTGTATCCAGATTGTTTAAAACTTTTGTATCTATAATTTACATCAAAATTAACTATTTCAATTTGCAACTACCTAGCTGACATCAGCAATTTATTCCATACCTCAAATGTCTTGAATGTGTCAAATAGAAGCAGAAGTGACAACGAAATACCGATAATTTTCACAAAGCAGAAAAAAATGAAGTTCTGTCTTCTGTCCGTCAACTGGGTAAAAATGTCAATTTGACATTTTCAACGCACAAATTTTGTTTTTGTGTACACTCAAAACAACGAAATTCAGAAGGCACTGTAAATTTTTATTTTTATTTGCAATTTATATAGCCACACAATTTTCACAATTTTCCACCGATTGCGTTAACCACACAAGAAACGATTCCTTTCAATACCAGAAATGCATTCAAAAAGTAGACGAACCGCAGCCGATTTGACAACCGAAGCAGCTTCGCTTTTGCGCCTTTACAATTTCGCTACGCAAGCAAATTCGTAGAAAGAGAGAATAGGCAAAATTATCATTTTGTTTTGCTATGCCTTTTCTAGAGGGTTGCTGTGAAAATCATCAATGATGATACGCTGTTGCTCCGTGGTATATATTTAAAAGGAATAGATAATTTCATCTTCTTGCAACCATTCTATTCCTATTAGCTCACCTGATTGACCTAGATTTCGTGAGGATCGAGTAGGTATGTAAACATATTTTTATTATACAAAATATAATAGCAAACATTCTTCTAGCATAATGAGTTTTTCACCTAAAGTATTAGCCAACATAAAGCAAGCAAAAGATTCAGATGAAGATGAGCAGGAATTTCCACTACTGAAAGTATTGAAAACTTTTCCAGAAACTGCAAACGTAATTGACCCAATTGAAGAAATCCTTCCTAGATGCGAAGATTTCAAGGAACATGTTGAAATCGGCGTTGATCCTCTGTTCAGCAATATGGAGACATTTGACCCAAATAGCTTCGTCGGTGCTTATAAAGACACGGAAATCACAAAGACTGATGAGAGCGACGAGGACGAAGACAATGCAACAAATCGGCAAGGCAAAAGGACACGACTTCCAGAGGAGTTACTGGGACGCAACGGCTTTATGTGGAGCACAAGCAAAGCTTCAGCAATTAACAATTTCGACTCCGCATTACAACTTCTACAACCGAAAGGGAAGGGTCCAGCGCATACAATAAACAACATATTAGAAATGTGGAGTTTGCTTGTGGATGAGCAAATCGTTTCTCAAATAGTACACTATACCAATGTACACATTAAACAACGAAAAACAAAGTTGCCCCATCAGCGATTGATCGATGCCGTGGAACTCCGCGCCTGGTTAGGCCTAAATTATCTATGCGGAATTTTTCGTAATGCAACACATAATGGACCACTAGATGAATTATGGTCACTGGAGCTGGGCAATGCCATTTTTCGAGCCACTATGTCTCTCAAGAGATTCAAGTTTATTTCAGAAAGTTTACGTTTCGGCGATAATGTTAAGCAAGTCAAGAAACCAGAATCGGATGCTATATTGGATATATGGAACAAGTTCTTAGTAAATTGTCGGTCGTATTATGCACCCAGTGGCAATTGTTCCGTGGCCGAAGTGGTAATGAATTTCACAAATGTAAAAGATGTGCCTCGATTACTGATGCTATGCGATGTCAAAACATTGTACATGTGTAATGCCGTTCTAAATTCCTCTGGAGAGTATAAAGACCGTGACGTATTGCGTCTTGCATCTGACATAAAAGGCAGTAAGCGTAATATCGTGCTCTCTTCGCAATTCACAAGCGCAGAACTAGCGAAGAAACTTTTGGAAAAGGAACTGTCTGCTCTCGGTAGTTTGCCACATACTGCTAAGGAAGTACCGCCAGAGTTCATTTCGAATAGTTGTTCAGTGCGAAAACTGTATTCCAACTCGATTAACTTAATATCTTGTCAACAAAATGTAGGCATTTTACTAACCTGCGGTATTCCGAACAAAATAAAAGTGGAACATTTGTATAGCTTAAGTTGCAACGCTTGTCGGAACTATCAAGAAATAGTTGGCATGTACTCCACCAGTCATGCCACCCAGCAAATTCACAATTGTTGGTCACTGACATTCTTTCAAAATATACTTGACTATGCCATTGTTAATGCCTGGATATTATTTGTACTATCGTCCAATGGTGATGGCAGTATGAAGCAACGAGACTTTCAGCGACACCTTGGGCTATATCTAACACAGCAACAACTCAAACGACAGCTTCAATCTAATCGTCTCACTTTGCCACAGAAGGTACAAATTTCAGAAGTGCTGGGTGAACCAACCAGTCAGCTGTTTGACGAGGCCAAGGCAGCTAGCGCAAAAGATATATGTACCATGACTATACCGCACGATAAACTTAAATTACCGGACGGAGTTAAATTACTGCCGAAAAATTTAAAAACTCGCTTGAATTGTCGGAAATGCCCCAGCAAAATTTCGCGAAAAACTAAAACGAGGTGTCAACAATGCTTAAGGCCACTTTGTCAGAAACATTTTGTTTTGCGCTGCTGCGATTGTACCGGTGTTGTGGAAGCGGAGGTCGAAACGAAGGAAAATGCCATTGAAGAGGGACCCGATCAGGCATTGAACGAAAGTGATCGAGAAGAAGGACAAGACGAAAGCGACATTTAATTTACCATAATTAAACTAATTGTTAGTGTATATTTTGATAAAAATAATCAAAGTTTTTTTATGTATGTATGTACATATCGTCACCTGAAATGCAAAAGGACGTAACAAATTGAATAATGGTAACAAACATCATCGTTGAAATGCAAAATGTCATAACTGATAAAAATTTCAAAATTCACTTTTTGATTTATATGATGGATTTCAACAAATTACCACTCTTATAAAAAAA